GGTGCATGTGAAATAGTATTTCCAGACATACCTTGGTCAGCAGTAGCATACAGATGACCAGGGTAGGGTGATCCATCAGTGGATGTGTACTTGACACTGGCAAAGGTACCAGCTTCTCAGATAAGAAAAGGGCACAGCAACACAATAGGGGTTAAAGTCAGAGGTCATCTGTGGCCAGGAGTAGGGATTGGATTGTCCCTTGGGTATCACTCAAGTGGCATTAGTGGTTTGGAGGGATAAACCATTTGGGTGTGGGGAACAGGTCCAGCTGTGTCCTATGGTACCTTCAGTGGAGGACGTGGGTGGCAGGATGAGGGCATCTTTCTCTGCAGATGCCTGCTGCACAGGGTGAGGAGACACAGGCTGAGGATGGTCCTAGTGGATGGTCCTCGTGAGATCCTCATCGGGATGGAAGGGAAGCGGCTCGGCCCTGCACTCTCCAGGAGGAAGAAGGTAAAGATGAAAGTACCAGCTGGAAGTTCCTTTGCTGTGGTAACAACGCTGGGCTCCCATGTCTTGTGAAAGCCAGTCACTGTCTCTAGTGTGGGCGTGTACACCAGCAGGGGTGGCAGTGTCCTGTTGGTGGTCTCTTATTGTGAATTTCAATATGGTGTAGTCACGGCATAGGCATGTGGCATAATGATCAGGCCTATGGGCAGTACTTTCTTTTTACCACTTGGGGACGCCATTTTCCTACAGATTCTCTCGCAATAACATGAATAGAGGTGGCTGCCTTGCATGGGTAAGCCGATAGATGCCCTTGTAGGTATCCACCACTGTTCAGGTGTACTTAACGGTTCCAGCTGCTGCAGGGAGATGCCCAAGGAGTCAGTTTGCCAGGTTTGATGTAGCCCTTCTCCTCTCTAAATTTTTCCTCCTATGTGGTGGCCCCAATGTCTGGATTGCTGGCGCTGGTAAGGTCCCTAGTGACTTTGTTTAAATGTCCCTCGGCTGGGTCAACTCCTCTCTTCACAACCCATTTTCACAACCTCATGGTGCCCCAGTGCCTTGACCTCATGTGCCCATTGGTAGAAGGGGTCTGGTGGCTTGTCCCCAGGGACTGAGGACTCGCCCTCCTTCGCAGCCCTGCCTGCTTCGCTGGTTTCGTTAGCTTGTCCTTGACATGATATTGCGCCTCCTCCGCGTCTTGCTTAATGTTAGCGAAGGTACCGTGCACAACCATAGGCAGGGCAGGGTGAATTTGGCAATTTACAGCCCCCCCATCTCTTTATCCCAAATGTCTGGGTCTTGTATTTTCAGCCTTGATTTTGCCAACACCCAAACTATGTAGTCAACCCATTAGCCTCTGACCTGGAGTCAGTGAAATACCTTGGGGAAATATTTGCCAAGAGCATGGTCTGTTGCTAGGAGCAGTGCACGCAGCTCAGCCCGCATGGAAACTGGACTGGTTGACTGAGGTTCTGGGCTGCGGGTGTCATGGCCTGGCTCCCGTATTCCCCATGTGCCTCCATCTGTAAAGAAAGGGCGTTGCTTTTCTTGTTTTGAGAGTGCTGTGGTCTTCCTCCTTCTGGTCTCCTCGAGCAACGGGTGGAGGCATTTCTTTTTCTTTTCTTTTTTATTGTACTTTAGATTCTGGGGTACATGTGCAGATCATGCAAGATTGTTGCATAGGTACATTCATGGCAAGGTGGTTTGCTGCCTGGGGGTGGAGGCATTTCTAGGGTTTGGCAAGTTTGCCTCCCCAGCAGGTCACGTGGCAACTTGCTCATGGGCTGGTGGCACTCCAGGAGGGCAGAGTTCAGCTGGAGCCTGTGGAGCTCATTTCTATTTTGATCAGGGGCTTCTTTTGCGGATTCGGTTTTAGGGGGAGCTTCTCCCATTGCGCCGGCCAGACTAGGAATCTCAGTGTACAGAGAGATGGGCTGTGTCTCAGGAAGGGCCTCGGTTTCCCAAAGTGCCCAGGGCGCTGCCAGGTGGTGCCTCTCTCACGGCGAATACCTTTGGGCTGAGGCTGGCAGCCACCTACAGAAGCCCATGGGTAGGTGCTCGCCTGTGCATTTGGGGCAGACGCTCCGGGAAGCAAATTTGGACGCGGCTGGATCTTCTCACTGTGAGTCCTACCGTTGGGGCAGGTGGGGAAGATGACGTAACAGCCTCCATGTGTTTATGTGGCCTCTGTTGCTCAGGTCCCGGCTGGAGAGTGGAATAGGTAAGGGAGACTCTACAGATAGCACCCAGCAAATATTGGAAGTGGGGAATATGGTGGCACCGGAATCCAAACCTGCCTGCCACAGTTGGGCTTCCTTGCCAGTGTGGGAGGCTGTACCTCTGGGAGCTTGTCTTTTTAATTTTATTTTATTTTTTATTTTTGTAAGATGGAGTCTCTGTCGCCCAGGCTGGAGTGCAGTGGTGTGATCTCGGCTCACTGAAACCTCCACCTCCCGGGTTCAAGTGATTCTCCTGCCTCAGCCTCCCAAGTAGCTGGGATTACAGGTGCCTGCCACCCCACCCGGCTAATTTTTTGTATTTTTAGTAGAGACGGGGTTTCACCATGTTGGCCAGGCTGGTCTCGGACTCATGACCTTGTGATCCTCCTGCCTCGGCCTCCCAAAGCGCTGGGATTACAGGCATGAGCCACCGCACCCAGCCTGAGCTTGTCTTTTACAGGATAAAGGACAGTTTACCCTTCTGAGTTCCACACATAGCCCCCGAATTCAACAGACCAGGAGGAGCCTTGGACCTTATGGAGGGGCAGCCGCCCATTGGCTCTCAGTGAGGTGCTTATTCAGGACTGCGATCGCTGTGGGACAACATCTTGGTCAGTTCAGTGAGGAGGATGTTGCGGATACGATGACAAAGCCGAACTGTGCTGGGCGTGTGGGCAGCACTCAGGTCTTGTGTGCAAAGCCCGTGTGCAATCGGGGCAGGGCAGGGGGGACTGAACGACCCCAGGGTCAACCAGTACAAGGTGTCCTGTTGGCCCTGAAAGGGGAAGGTGATTGTAGTGAGTGTCCTGGGACTCACCATTTTCATGGAACAGAACCTGTCAGCAGTCTTTAGCTCCAAACTATTTAGCCAGGTTGTTTTGAATGTCGGCTTAAGACGACCATGTCTGGTAGAAGCGCTCCAAGCCAGGGGACAGCCTTGTATAAGGCTCCGTAGTCTGGAGTTCGCCTCACCCTTTAGTAGTGGCTTTCAGCACAGCTCATACCAGGGAGCTGGAAGGCGAGATGGTAGGAGTTCCTTCCCCTTCCCTAACCAAGTCAGCACAGCAGGCCTTGCCTCCGCTGCTGTGGAGCATGTGGACCCCGACACCCGCAGGGGAAGGGGCTTGGTTAACCTGCTCCCACCCGGCAGCGGCACTCAGGAGCCTTAGGCTGTTCCTTGAAGTCACCCGCTGACTGAGAGGGCCCATTCCAGCGATGGGACACGGGGCGGATTGGGGACAACGACCAGGACAGAAATGTCTTTTAGCAACCCTGGGCCAACTGGAATGGGAAGTGGGTGATGATGCTTTCCTGGCTTCTCCTCCCCAGTGGGCCGCCTCCTGGGGAGGGCCCTTTAAACTTGAATGCTGCCTGGAATGAGGGAGATTCCAGCACCCTCATTGTTGAGAGCCCGCCCAGGGCATTCATTTGCCTGAGAGCAAACGTCAGTTAATGTGGTAAAGGGTGATCATCTGCCAGAGGGGCCTGCTTCCAAAACCACGGGATCTGCGTGGGGCGGGCCCCTGTCACTGGCAGAGATCAAGGCAGGTGGTGAAGGTGAGGCTGCCTCTGAGGCAGAGGCCTGCCACGCTGTTCCCCCCACTCCGGCTCGTGCTGTGTTGTTCCACCGATTTATCAGAGCACATCGGATTTGGGATCCTCTTGTCCCTTAGGACTCCATACGACCCATGATGGTGAATTTTATGTGTCAACTTGCCTGGGCCACAAGGGTGCCCAGACATTGGGCCAAACTGTTCTGGGTGTGGCTGTGAGGGTGTTTCTGGGTGAGATTAACCTTTCTCTGGAAGACTGAGTGAAGCTGACCTCCCTCCCGGATGTGGGGGGCCCCTGCCCAGTCAGTTGAAGGCCTGAGTAGAACAAGACAGCTGACCCTCCGTGAGTCAGAGTCAGCCCCTCCTCCTGCCTGAGTGCAGGGGCTGAGACGCCATTTATTCCCTCCTTGGAGCATGAACTAAAGTGTCAGCTCTTCCTCGGCCTCAGGCCTGCTGGTTGTCACACTGGACCCGGGCCACCGGCTCTCCTGGGTCCCCAGCTCGCCAACTACAGGTCTTGGGACTTGTGGGCCTCTGGATCGGTGTGGGCCAATTCCTTATAATACATCCTGTATATCTCCACATAGATGTAGACGCGTCACCTCCTATTGGTTCTGTTGCTCTGCAGAACCCTGACTAACAGATGACCTCTTCTGTTCATCTCAGGGTTCCCGCTCAACCCGGGGCCTGGCTGCTGGTGGTTCATTTGGATTAGGAGGGGGCGGCCTCACTGGTGATGCTCCTTGTGATTTGGGCCAGGTGGGGCATTGTTTTCACAATTGCAGGCAACACTGGGCTGTGAGTTTGTCCTCCATGGGTTTCTATTCCATCCAGGGCAGCCACGGGCTGGCGGGTTGTTTAGCCTTAGCTGTCACTGACAGGAAGCAGGACTTGTGCTTGTCAGGCGCTCCCTGAGAAGCTACCGTGTGGACTAAGCACTCCATTCAGCCTCCGCGGAGTTGAGTCCTCACGCCGCGCCATCTGCCACCAGATAATCCCGCTGGAATGTGCCGAGCTGACGGAGGACATCTTCGGCCTCAGCTAGCGTTTTCCATCGCCGTTCTGCCCAGGGGGTTATGAGGCCTCGCGTAGGGTTGGCAGCTCTCCAAGCCACCACAATTCATAAAAATGCAAAATCCACTCCGACCAGGTGCACATGGACTGCGGTGCGAAGCCTCCTGCGGGCCACTCCCAGCTTCTGCACTAATTGTGCAGAATCCACTTTTCCATCCCGTCCTGGGGCAGCCAAGTGATTCATTTCAGCCCCTGTCAGGTGGAGCTTGCTATGCTCTGTTGGATACGTTTTCTGCAGCCAGGCAGCTGCTTTTTCATTTGGTTCCTGGGCTAGGTTCTTAAGGAGAGGCAGGGCCTCTGGGTGATACAGAGGCTGTCTCCTCCTCCAGATAGGAAGGACATGGCCTCACCTTCTTGACCCTCTCCTGTTGTGTCTTTCTCATTTTTTCGGGCAAAGGACAGGGTCAATTTCCTCTCTCTCATGGTGGTATTGAGCTTCCTCATCCTCTAGAGGGCGCCAGTCCTCTTCGGGGTCCTCTCCGCCTTTTGATCTCCTCTGATGAAAGAAGTCTATATGACCACAAGGTGGCGTAGCACAATAAGGGTTATTTGCTCACGTGGCTCATAGACAGCCAGGCTTGATGTGGCTAACATGAATGAGAGACTTACCCTCTTGGCCGCGTTCTGGCGAGAAGCAGCGGTGAGCAAGCCCAGCACGAGTCCCCTGGTTTGGATTCAAGAGGACAGCCGCCTCCTTTTGAGTCCTGGTTGGGACAGCAATATAAACATCTCATCTTTATTCACATGAAGTAACAGTTTTGCCCCACCTCAATAAATCTGGGGTCTTGATACTGCTCCGGAAAGGAACAGAAATGATGTCATCTGTAATAGCAAATACAAATGCGACAAGAAGAGAGGCATGCTAGCTATTTACAAAAGAGTCTCCCCAGCTGTGCTTAGGGGATCGACATCAGCCCGACATCGTTGCTTTATAGCCTTGTTCACGTGTCATATGCGTCTCAGAGTACCCTAAATCACAGGGCCAACTCACAGGGCTCCTCCCACTCTAGCCAGTCATGGGGTCAGGGTAGCCCATCCTCAGTCCAGAGATGTGTACTCCCCCCACCTTTTGTGTTCAGGTCCATAGGCCTTATAGTGTCCTGTGGGTGCCCCAGCAGTTCCCTGCCTAGTGGGGCCCCAGGCGGGCAGGGTAACCTTCTTCCTCAGGCAGTTCCGCACCTGATCCCAAAAGTCAGTTCTAATGAAGTGGATTCATTCAAATACTGGTGTTACTGCTTGGCCAGGCTAGTGAAGCACAGAGAAAACCCACAAATGTAGTGTGTGTGACACAGCACAGAGCAATCCCATGCCAAACTGATGCAATGGGATTCCAAGTTTTGAGTTCCACCGCTCGAGACCATCCAGGAATGTGTTACCAGTTAATTGTCCTACTGGCCCCTATCTATTTCATGATTACCAGAAATCCTTCCCTTTTCCTCCTTGTCACTTACAGGGAGTTTGAGCTATTTAGGGTGCTGATGAAGGAAAAGCAATCTTGAAAAAGAACAAAGTTGGAAGATTGACACTTCCCTATTTCAAAACTTACTGCAAAGGTACAGTAATCCAAACAGTGTGGTGCTGGCACCAGGATAAACATACAGATCAATGGAATAGAATTGAAAGTCCAGAAAAAAACCCATGCAGCTCAAATGATTTTTGATTACGGTGCCAAGATCATTTAATGGGGGAAAGGATAGTCCCTTCAATAGATGGCCCTGGAAAAAATAGATATACACATGTAAAAGAATGAAGTTGTACCATGACCCCATACAATATATAAAAATTGACTCAAAATGGTTCAAAGACCTAAGTATAAGAACTAAAACTATAAAATAACTAGAAGAAAATGAAGGAATCCATCTTCATGACTTTGGACTTGGCAATTGTTTCTTAGATATGATACCAAAAGCATAAGGAACAAAAGAAAAAATGAATAATTGGACTTAATAAAAATGAAAACTTTTGTGCATCAAATGACATTTTCAGGAGAATGAAAAGACAACCTAGAGAATGGGAAAATTATCATCTGATAAGAGTTTAGTATCAAGAATATATAAAGAATTCTTACAGTCTAACAACCAAAAAATCCCCAGTTAACACTGGGCAAAAGACTTGAATAGATTATTTTTCAAAAGAAGATATACATGATATACACATGACCAATAAGCTCATGAAAAGATTTGTCATTAGTCATCAGGGAAATTCAAATCAAAACCACAATTAGATACCACTTTACATCTGCTAGGATGGCTACAATGAAAACCAACACAGCAACAAGTGTTGGAGAGGATGTGGAGAAATTGGAAGCCTAATACACTGCTGGTTGGAAAGAAAAATGGTGCAGCCACTGTAGGAAACAGTTTGGTGGTTCCTCAAAAAATTAAACATAGAAATACCATATGATCCAACAATTCCACTCCTAGTTATATACCTAATATAATTGGAAACAGGTAGTTATTCAAACAAAAACTTATATATGAATGTTCATAGCAGCACTATTCACAATAGCCAAAAGGTAGAAACAACTCAAATATCTTACAATTGATGAGTGGATGAAGCAAATATGGTATAGTATATCCATACAATGGAATATTATTCAGCCACAGAAAAGAATGAAGCACTGTTATATGCTACTGCATGGATGAACCTTGAAGACATTATGCTCTGTGAAAGAAGCCAGACAGAAAAGACCACATAGTGTATGATTCTACTTATACGAAATATCCATAATAGGCAAATGTATAGCACCAGAAAGCAGATTAAGTGGTAGCCAGGCGCTGGGGTGAAAGGGGCTAGGAAATGATTGCTTAATGGGGATGGAGTTTCCTTTTGGGGTGGTGAAGATGGTCTGGAATTAGATAGTGGTAATGGTTGCACAACACTGTGAATGTCCGAAATGACACTGAATTGTACACTGTAAAATAGTTAAAATAGTTTCATGTTATATATATTTTACCACAATAAAAACAGGTGTTTATATGGGGTACAAGATGCGTGAATGGTGGCCATGAGGCAGAATGAATGAAAGCAAATAGCAGTGTGATTGAATGGGGGGAAATTGGGGGCACCGTGGGAGAGAATAGATGTGAATGATTGGTAGAGTGCAAAGGAATGGGAGTCATGAGGGGCAGAGTGAGCTGGAAGGGGGGTGATGGTGTTACTTTATGTCTGAGTGGGTCCTGTGCTCCTGGAAAGCGGTCATGGTTATGAAATTCTCACCACCCTTGCCTCCCTTGGGTGTTCCAGCAAAGGGCTAACTGCAAAAGTCCCTGGATTACTTGCTTGGGCTGCCATAACAAAATGCCACAGGCTGGATGGGTTAAACCAGAAGTTTATTTGGCATAGTTCTGGAAGCTGGAAGAAGTCCAAGATGAAGGGGACAGCTGATTTGGTTCCTGGTGAGGGCTCTCTATAAAAAAAGCCATAAGGCTTGCAGACAACTGGCTTCTTACTGTGTTCTCATATCACCTGTTTTTTGTGGAAATGGAGACAGCAAAATGGAGTGAGCAAGCTCTCACTGTTTATATAAACAGACGTCTGTTTATATAAGGGCACTAATCCCATTAGACCAAAGCCCCATCGCATGACCTCATATAGCCTTCATTACCTCTCAAAGGGTCCATCCTCAAATACCATCACATTGAGAGTTTGGGTTTCAACTTATGAATTTTGCGGGGGGATGGGGTGCAATTCAGTCCATAGTAGTCCCTAATGTATTTGCATATTCTGAGATAAGACCTATCTCTATCTGTCCTGATGACTCAAGGATGACTCTTTTGCTTACCTGCCTCTATACAACCTGAGGTCTCCTTCCTTTGGGATGTTCCTCATTAATGAAAGTTTTCCCTATTTCAATAGCCTGAAAGGGCTCACCTGTGCATTTTCTTTCAGGTGATCAATTGGTAGAATGTAATTAACAGGGCAGAGTGGTCGAGGTCCGCAACCTGGTCACCGTCTGTCTCCTGTTTATTCCCCTAGGCCTCGGGGGGGCCCATAGCACTGGGACCCTGGAATCTCTGCCCTCTCAAATCTCTCTGCAACAGGTTCCCAGGAGGTCGATGGAATGTAGGCCTGGCGGGGTCACCACCAGATTTGCCTGGCTTCTTACCTAGTCTCCGACTAAGATTCCACCTCACCCGGGCCCCTTTATCCCTGGGCTTCTGTCTCCAAGTCTCCCTGCGCCTATGTTTACCAATGTCACTTTCTTGGTTTCTTTCTCCAAGGACAGATTGTACCACACCTCCCTATTTGCACCAGTGGTATCTCCCAAGGCGGACTGTACCAACCTGAGCCTTCGCCACAACTAGCTTAATAGTATCTATCTCCCTACTGTTATTTTCTTGAGAGGACTACCAGCTTCACACGTTCTCCCCTTCTCCCTAGTGATACTGACCGGTAGAGGAATGTATTATTACCAACTCTGCATCCCTTCTCCTGGTAACAGGGAGGTCCGTACCATTTCAGGCCTCCCCCATCTCCGCAATGGTATCTCCCGGCGGGGGGGGTGGTCTGTGGTCCTGAACTCCGCATTTTGTGATCATGGTATCTCCCCTGCCAGGTAAGTATTGAACTCCGCATTTTTGCATACCCGTTCTCTTGAAACTCCCCAAACACGGGCATGATTTGCCAGTCACTAGCTTTGCACAAAGGGCCCCAGTTTTATAGCCAAGTTTTCAAAGTCCTCTTGGAGCTCTATCTTTTCCAAACTTTAAGAGGCATATTACTCTCCTGTACGGAATGGTAAGGGCTGTAAAGGTGCCCCGCTCCCTTGACCAGCTGGTTTACTGGCACGGCCATTTTTCTTGCCAGCCAAAGACGTACAATCATTGGAGCAAAGGAACAAAAAACTTCTGGTATTCTATAGCACTGTTCGATGTCTATAGTTAGCAATAATTTGTTGTACATTTTCAAATACCTAGGAGAGAGGATTTTGAATATTCCCAACACAAAGAAATGATAAATATTTGAGGTGACGCACATGCTAATTACCCTGATTTGATCATTACACATTGTATGTATGTATTGAAATATCACTCTGCACCCCACAAATGTGTACAATTAAATTTTTTTAAAATCATTAAATTAAAGAAAACCACAAAACAACTTTGGCTGCTAGCGTTGACGATTTTAGGAACCGCTACTGCGCATGAGTAAGTATAGCGACCTGCAGTACCTAACGCAGGGTAAAGGTCGGAAACAGGTAGCTGTCGGAGGAAGTTGTGACTGATTTTGGAAACACATGGGGACCTTGCCCGAATAAGAATTCGGATCTTAACATCAGAGCCGGGTGTGAGGAGGGGCAGAGTTCACATAGAACAGAAGTGAGAAGGCTGGTGGTCTGCGGGCAGAGTAGTTATTTAACCTCTTTGTACCTTAGTTTCCCTAACTGTAAAATGGGCATGGTGATGTTAATGATAATGATAATAATAATACCTACCTTGTATGGTTGTTGTGTAGATCAATTGAGTCAATATAAGTGTTTACAACAATGCTTAGCACATACGTAAGTCTTATATATGAATTTAATAATATTATTATACTATTATTAATACCATAAAATGGATACGTATAAACTGATAAAAAGGAATAGGGAAGTAGAGCAAAACCAGGGCCAGACTGAACTGTCTAGATGTGGATCGTAGGATTCTGCATAATTATGTTGAGCTGCAGTTATTGTTCTGAACTTCCTAGAAGCCACAACATAGAGGGAAAGAAACTCATTTGCTTTATTTATCTCACCCATACAGAGAAGGTAAGTCACTTCCTCAGAAGAAAATATTTGCTTAGTAAGATAGTTCTCTGATGCGTCAGCCAAGTCCTCATCAGAAATTTTGTGATAAATACAGGGATAGGATTGCTCTGCTGTGACTTAAAATATGTCTTCATGTCAACCAAAGGTGTCCTGCTTAAACAGAACTAAAAAGACGTGACTCTTCAGGAAATCAAAGCCATGTCTGCACAAATAACTCTTATATTCTGGCTCAATATATGGATAAAACCTTGATCATCAGGAAGAATCAGTAAACCCCATGTCCTTCAAATTCTTTTCTGATCTATATGTAGTTTTTTCTCATCTGGGGTTTCAGTACAGACTGAGCAACCCAAAGGTCTGCTCTTTTCCTTTCTAAACTCAGAATTCATGATGTCCCTTAGCATTTTCAGTACTTTCCCTTCTGCCCTTTTTAAGAAAGTCTATATTATTTTGTCATTTTTTCTCTTCCTACAGAAGAGAAGTGGCACACCAAAAATCCAAACTCTTGAGGAATATACAATCTAAAAGGGAAAATCAACTCATAGTCTCATATCACCACTCATTCCAGATAACCAATTTCTGATAAATTTGGTTAATTTCCACCTATATACCTATCTCTCCCCCTTGTTCTTTCTCTTTATATTTACATACACATATATGTGTATGCAAATGTCTTCCTTTTGCTAAAATCTGCTCATTATGTAAAACTGGTTTGCAATTCCTTTTTCCCTTTCCAGAATAATATCAATAATGGTCATAGTAGTAATGATAATGATAATATAAATGAAGATAATGATAATAAAAGTGACACAACAGAAGCCGACACATAGTGAGCTCACACTGGGCCTGACACCGTACTAAACATTATATATGCATGATCACTTTTAATTCTCACAATAACCTTGGGAAGTAGGTACCATTTTTATCTACTTCTTACAGATAAGGAAGCTGAGTACCAGAGTGGATAAGCAAATGACATGGGCTTGCACAGCTGCTCACTGGCATAGCTGGGATAGCCCCTACTCAATGAACATTTGTTGTTGGAAGGTATTTCAGTCTCAGGACATAGAGATATTTTTAAGAGATGCATTTTTTTCTTGTATTCATGTACCATGATTTATTAATCGCCCCATATTGAAGGACTTTTGTGTAATTTCTGCTACAGTGTGGCAGTGATCTCCCTTGTCATCTATCTTTTTCTTCAGCTTTTATTTTAGCTTCAGGGTTACATGTGCAGTTTTGTTATGTAGGTAAACTCATGTCACGAGGGTTTGTTGTACAGATTATTTCGTTACCAAGGTACTAAACCTAATACCCAATAGTTATTTTTTTCTGATCCTCTCCCTCTTCCCACCCTCCACCCTCGAGTAGGCCCCAGTGTCTGTTGTTCCCCTCTTTGTGTCCATGAGCTCTCATCATTTAGCTCCCACTTATAAGTGAAAACATGCTGTATTTGGTTTGGGCTGTGTTAGTTTGTTAAGGACAATGGCCTCCAGCTGTATCCATGTTGCTGCATAGGACATGATCTTGTTCTTTTTAAAATTGTTACTATTTTTTGTAGAGAAGCGGTCTTGCTATGTTGTCCAGGCTGGTCTTGAACTCCGGGGTTTACATGGTCCTCCCACCTCGGCCTCTCAAAGTGCTTGGATTGCAGGTGTGAGCCACCGCATCTGGCCTGATCTTGCTCTTTTTGATGGCTGCATAGTATCCCATGGTGTATATGTGCCACATTTCCTTTATCCAGTCTATCATCGATGGGCATTTAGGCTGATTCCATGTCTTTGCTATTCTGAATAGTGCTGCAATGAACATATGCATGCATGAGTCTTTATGGTAGAACAATGTATATTCCTTTGGGTATATACCCAGTAATGGGATTGCTGGGTTGAATGATAATTCTCTTTTCAGCTCTTTGAGGAATCGCCACACTGCTTTTCACAATGGTTGAATTAATTTACATTCCCACCAACAATGTATAAGCATTCCCTTTTCTCTACAACCTCAGCAGCATCTGTTATTTTTTATCTTGTCATCTCTCTTTGTACACAGTGGTGAACATTTCCAGAATATCTGGTTCAAAAGGTGGGCACGTTTTGAACTTTCATAGACATCGCCAAATTGCCTTTTGAAACGTTAGTATAAGTTGACACCCTCCACTAATAATGAAAGAAAATACCATTTCTAATCTTCTTGTCATGGTTTTAATCCTTGCCATTTGAGAGTTGAAAATATTTCATTTCTTTTGTGTGTGTTTGTCAATGAGGTTGAGTATCTTTTAATATATTTTTCTTTTTATATATTTTTTGTTAATCATTCTTTCACATATGCTACTCTTTTTCCTGTGGGATTTTTAAATCTTTCTCTTACTTTTTTTTTTTTTTTTTTTTTTTTTTTTTTTTT